TATTCTTAATGCAATTTTGGTCATTAAAAAAATAGCAACCTATCTCATCCTTTAGAGAAGATTTAGTTTAGAAGAAATATAGCACCATACATATTCTGGGCAATTTTCCAAACTGTTGGTAAAATATGTCTACTGTGGAATACTCTGTATATTTTCCTGCTAAAAGGATTTGCCTATTTCTCTTTCAGAGTCTTTTATTTTACTTTCCATGCTAATTTCCATAAATTCCACAGTCTCTGTTGCTGCAGTAGTTATTCCTATTTATTTTCCCTGAACTCTACATGTCATTTAAACCATATCTGCATTTCTTTCAGCATTACCTATTGAAGGAAGCAAAAACCAGTCTTACGAAAGCCTCAGAGAAATCCAGAACTTTGGGTGCACATTTGGATTAAGCGTCCCGTCAAATGCTTGTGAAAACCAGAGATTTAAAGTTGAAGAGGATATTTATGACTGTCATCAATTTGATGAGTCCTTCATTAAAACTTTATTATTCTTCCACCAACCAATATTACCTTCACATGCTAAAATCTTCAGCTGGGATCAGTATGGTAAAATGTTTATCCAGTCATCATTGTTTATTGAAAATCAAGGTATAAATAATTGGAAAAAACATGACATATCAAATAAAGTTTTAATATCCCTTTTCCAAAATTTTACCCAAAATAATTACCTAAATGTTCATATTGATGAGAGAATTTATCAATGCAATAAACCTGAAAAGGCCATAAATCAAGTCTCATGCCCTATGAAATATTTGAAATCTCAACACTCAGAGATCCAATACAAATGTAACAAATGTGGAAAAGTATTTCATAAAAGGTTAAAGTTCATCAGCCTTGATGATATCCATACCCAGGAGTATTCCTACAACTGTACTGAATGTGTAGAAGCCTTACACCAGTCAGGGGAACATTCTGAAAATCAGGGAATTCATATTGGAGAAAACTCATACAGACATAATGAATGCAAAAATGTCTTTAGTCAGTCATCCAGTCTAACAAAGAACATGGTTGGTAATGGAGGAAAATGTTATAGAGGTAAACAATGTGAAATATCTTTTAATCTGTCTTCAAAGCTTGAAAGACATCACAGGTTTTATACTGGAGAGAAACCATACAAATGTGAAGAATGTGGCAAAACCTTTAAGCAGAGTTCAACCCTTACAAATCATCAGAGAATTCATACTGGAGAGAAGCCATACAAATGTGAAGAATGTGGCAAAGCCTTTAACCAGTATTCATATCTGAGGATACATAAGAGAATTCATACAGGAGAAAAACCCTACAAATGTAAAGAATGTGGCAAAGCATTTAACCAGTGCTCTGACCTTATGAAACATCAGATTATTCATTCTGGAGAGAAACCCTACAAATGTGAAGAATGTGGCAAATCCTTTAACCGGTGTTGGTACCTTGTGATACATAAAAGAATTCACACTGGAGAGAAACCCTATAAATGTGAAGAATGTGGCAAAGTCTTTAACCGGTATTCATACTTCCTGATACATAAGAGAATACATACTGGAGAAAAACCCTACAAATGTGAAGAATGTGGCAAAGCCTTTAGCCATAGGTCAACATTTACACAGCATCAGCTAACTCACAATGGCAAGAAACCCTACAAATGTGAAGAAGGAACAGCGTTTCAGTATAGTTCAACCCTTAGAGAACATGAAAGAACTTACACTAGAGAAAAACCCTACAAATGTGAGGAATGTGGCAAAGCCTTTAACCAGTGTTCACACCTCGTGAAACATAAGAGAATTTATACTGGAGAGAAAACCTACAAATGTGAAGAATGTGGGAAAGCTTTCAGCCATAGGTCAACACTTACGCAGCATCAGGTAACTCACAATGGTGAGAAACCCTACAAATGTAAAGAATGTGGCAAAGCCTTTAACTATAGTTCATCTTTTAGAAAACATCAGAGAATTCATACTGAAGATAAACCCTACAAATGTGAAGAATGTGGCAAAGCCTTTAAGTGGTGTTCATATCTCATGATACATAAGAGAATTCACACTGGAGAGAAACCCTACAAATGTGATGAATGTGGCAAAGCCTTTACCCATAGTTCACCCCTTAGACGACATCAGAGAATTCATACTGGAGAGAAACCCTATAAATGTGACGAATGTGGCAAAGCTTTTAATCGTAGTACGATACTTAGAGTACATCAGAGAATTCATTCAGGAGAGAAACCATACAAATGTGAATAATGTGGAAAAATCTTTGTTTGTTTGTTTTTTGTGAGAGAGAGTCTCACTTTGTCACCTTCTATAGAGTGCTATGGCATCACAGCTCATGACAGCCTCAAACTCTTGGGCTGGTAGCTGGGGCTACAGGCACCTGCTACAGCATCTGGCTATTTTTATAGAGGAGGTCTCTCTGGCTCAGGCTTGTCTCAAACATGCAAGTTCAGGCAGTCCACCTGCCTCAGCCTGCCAGAGTTCTAGGATTACAGTCATGAGCCACCACACCTGGCCTAGAATGTGGAAGAATCTTTACCTCTCATTTTAACTTTTGTAGACACCGGAACATTATACTAAAGAAAAACACTACTAATGTGAAGAATATGGCAAAGCCTTTTTCACATCTTAGTCAATATCAAAGAATCTATAATATTGAAGAGAACCCCTAAATGAGGAATGTGGCAAAGCTTTTAACTGTCTTTCAAGCCTTAGTGAACATCAAAAACTCCATATCATAAGGAAACTTTAAAAATGTATAGGCTACAGCATATTCTTTCCTTAGTGTTCAGGCCTTAGACAAAACCAGGAAATTCATCCTGAAGAGAAATCCTACAAATGTAAAATAGATCACAGAATTCATACTACAGAAACGTTATAATATGTGTGAAAAGAGTTTATCTCAAATATACAACTTAGGTATCACTAGAGAGTTCATACAAAGAGAATTTATAGTTACTATAAAGGTGCATAATCTAATTAAAACTTCACTCTAAGTGCATCAGGGAATTCACACAATTAAAAAGTAAAACACATTTTCAGGCTTAATTTTGCATATTTCGTAGGAATAATGTGCATTCAAAATAATTTGATCATGTTTTTCATATGACCAATGTATATTTATACAGGTATAATTGTTAATGTATTTAGCGTGTTTTATATTGAAAGTAGTAAAATTATTCAATAGCAAATATTGATGTATTTTAGTTATCAAATTAATTGATGCTATACCTCTATTCTTTGTTTTTTTGTTTGTTTTTTGAGACAGAGTCTCACTTTACTGCCCTCGGTAGAGTGCCATGGCATCACAGCTCACAGCAAACTCCAACTCCTGGGCTTAGGCAGTTCTCTTGCCTCAGCCTCCCAAGTAGCTGGGACTAAAGGCGCCCACCACAAAGCCCAGCTTCTTTTTGTTGCAGTTTGGCCGGGGCCAGGTTTCAACCCTCCACCCTCACTATGTGGGACTGGCACCCCACTCACTGAACCACAGGCATCACCCTATACTTCTGTTCTTAATGTCTATATGGAAACATGCTATTTGTTTCTTCTGCCTCAGGGCTCTGAGAGGCCATTTAATATTATGTGGATGTTATTAGTATCAATTTTATTATTATAACTTAATGGCTAATGTAAGCTACAATAAAAACATATAAAGATTTTTGGAGGGGGTTAATCATAAAACAATGATGCATGTAAGTAAGCATACATTGTGCAATTGGGATGTTGTTCAACATTTTGAAAATATTTTACTGATTATGTCTTAAGTAGGAAAAATGAGACCAGTTATTTAAAATACTGATATATATTTATTGTTAAATGAAATACGAGTCTTGAATATTATTTGATGTGATGGGGACATAGAAATTGTGACTGGTAATTGATGTGATATGAGTAGAAAGAAAAACATCTTGACAAATGTCAGCAGAAAATCAAGATAATTCCTACATAATTACAGCTATCAGAGTACGGAAAAATAACTCCTATTTAAAGGTCATAAATGCATTCAAATTAATGCACACTAGATGATTAGCCTCAATTTTTAAAGAAAGCATAACTCTAACTCTAAGTTTACTATATTAGATTAGAATAATTCCTCTGGAGTGCTTGTGACCAAAATGCACATAGTGGATTTAAAAATGTTTTCATTTAGGCTCTCAGCTAAAAAACTTGTCTTGATTAATAAAATTACAGGGTTTTTAATGTTTTAACACTGGTGCACGATGAATGAAATGTGATTCTGCCACTAATGTTAAACTTTCTTGTCTAAGATTGTAGTTAACAAGCGCAAATGTACGATTGGGTAATGCAGTGGAATAACTACTTTAGTAACCTTTTTTTCCCCCTGAGGATCTAAATGTTCAATATTTTTCAGAATATTGTACTCCACATTACTGTTTTGTGTTCTTTTCTCTTCTTTGTAATTAGAAGAACGTTGTTATAATAAAGATTATATGGGTGTAAAATTTGAAGCATAGCTTTGAACCCAAAATCACTATTAATAAATTATCCATCATTTTTCTTTGCTTATGGCCCTTTTCTATGCCTGGTGAAGACATAGAGATGTTTTGTTTTGATTTAGATTGACTACAACATGCAATATATCAAGATAAATAAACTGTGTGTGAGAATTATAGAAAGGAAAATGCATGTGTGTGTAGGTATCTTCAGAAAAAAATGAAAATAGTGGGTCAAAACAGATAATTTCAAAGAGTTGATCATTTCCAAGCAAAGTAGACTTTCCAAATTATCAAAGCAAACTTAAGTTTCCTACATTACATTAAATGTATTGTTAAAATATCTTATGTTTTCAGGGTGCAGAATCGCCCCCATAGAGATACTGTGTTTTTTGCTTGCTACCTATGTACTCTATTAGAGTATACAGAATATATTATTATTTGTCTTTAAATTGCTGAACGTAAATGGACTATCACATGCTTATATACTTTAGCCTGGGGAAGATTCCACCCTCCAGGCTGCACAATGCAGCAGGATAGAATTTTCTTTTCTTTTCTTTTCTCTTTTTGAAAGTGTCTCAAGCTGTCACCCTGGGTAGAGTGCAATGGTGTTACAGCTCACAGCAACCTCAAACTCTTGGGCTTAATGATTATCTTGCCTCAGCTTCCCAAGTAGCTGGGACTATAGGTGCCCGCCACAGTGCCCAGCTATTTTTGTTGTTGTAGTTGTTGTTGCAGTTGTCATTGTTGTTTTAGCTGACCCGGGCCAAGTCGAACCCACCAGCCTCAGTGTATATGGCCAGCTATTTTCAACTGCAACTTCTCAGTTGCACACTTATCCACAAATCTAAATGGTAATACAGATTTTGATATTTTCTTTCTTGGTATATGGGGCCAGCACCCTACTCCTTGAGCCATAGGCGTCGCCCAGTACTTTCTTATTTTTCCCAACAGTAATTCTTCATCTAGCTTTGGATTTTCAGCAGAGAACTGACTTCTGCAGCCACTTGCAGAACTCTTAGTAATTCCCAGTCCACTGTTAATGCCACATGGTGATCTCACTTACCCTAGGGTGTAACACAGTATTCTACTGCCAAGTTTTCTAATTTCATGGCCATTTTAGGGTCATCTGTATACTCAGTAGTCCACATGCATCTTAACCAATGGCCAACATGATCCCAAATGGATGAGGAGTAACACCTCGTATTTTGCATGTTTAAACTTTCTTACCCTTGCCCATACTTTGGTTACTGGTCTTGTGCTGACAAGCTCATTAATTGTTTAAAGGTCCATATGTGGAAAGTGATGCCCAAATGCAGAAAGAGCCAAGAAACCAAAGGGAAATGCAGATGAATCCAGTTTACCAGAAGTGCATGGTCATGGGTGGCCACAAGATGGGTGAACCTCTGTATTGTTATATCGCAGTTTGTATGGCATAGGAAAAGGTATGGATGTTAATGGTGCAGGAAAATTAATGTTGGCCTTCCTGGAGAAAAATGCCAATTCTGTGTGCTTCATCATTTGTAATATGTGATAATATCAAGGTTGGTTTGACTTAAGGACAGCATTTATGGTAATGTGTGCTCTTACACAAGAAACAATTGATAAAGTAAACATCTGAGAGGTATCTGCAGAACAAGGGTTAATCAGAAGTCAATACAGCATATTAGCGTCTGAGAGAGAGGTACTTTACACAAAAGCTCACTCTCCAGTACCATGGAGCCTTTAGGGGTTCAGGGTAGCTCAATGAAAACTCAACCAGGCAGTTTGGATTCACTAGGTTCTCATGTATAGGCAATTGAACTTGTACAAGTTCCCATTATGCCCAAATTCATTATCTTTTCCTCTTCACAGAAAAAGCTCCAGGAAATTTAAACATCACACACACACACTCACACTACACTAAGCATGGTCTACTTATTAAGTAAAAGTGGAGGCCAGAAGGTGTAAAGCAAGTATTGAGGGAAAAGAAAAAATGACAGATTGGAAGAAGTATCGGATCAAGTGTGTGTGTGTGTGTATGTGTTTTACATTGTCACCAAAAGCTTACTTTAAAATACACATCACCCAGCATGTCTAATCTAGGACAACAGGAAGAGTAATGTGTTTGCCCAGAAAAGTCAAGAAAGGAGGAACTGGCAATGGCCCAATGGCCTTGGTGATGGGAGCTGGGTTGTGCAGGAGTGATGAACTAGTATATTTAACAGGTCTTGTCTCTGGCTCCAGTGCTGGACCATCTTATTGGAAGGTATCTCTCTGCAAGCTGCTGAGTAGATGTGGTAGGGATGCTTACTTCCTACCCCAAATTATCCTAACAATTCCTTAGGAATCCAATCTTACTCTGATGTTTCTGACTGCACTGTACATGGAAAGCCAGCAACTGCTGGCTGCCTACATTAAAAATGGGGATGGCAGAGAAATCCCATGGCTAGGTGGGCAGTTAAGTTGCCTAGCTTTGGATTCCCATGGGCATACTTTGGACAGACATCTTTGGCTGAAACTCCCCACCCTGCTGCATTGCAGACACTTCCAATCAACCACATAATACTTAGCCCATTGCCCAGTTGGGAGTGACATGTGCTCCAGGTGGCTTATGAGAAAGATCTGGGGGAATCAGGCATTCCTGTGGGATTCTTCCTGACCAGACCTCAGAATAGTCCGTGTAAAGGAAAAGGCAAAATCTCACTGCCAAATACCTTGAGAATACCCTGTTTATTAGTCACAGGTAGTAACTTGGGTTACTGTCTTCTGAATGGTAGAAAAGGTAAGGTTTCTGTGCAAACTACCTTAGATTTT